TAACCTCATATACATGTAAAAGCTGGACAGCGAATAAGGAAGACCTTAGAAGAATTGATACATTTGAGTTATGGTGTTGGAGGAGAATATTGAAAGTGCCATGGGCTGCCAAAAGAACCAATAGATCCATTTTGGGAGCAGTGAAGCCAGAGTGCTCCTTAGAGGCCAAGATGGTCAAACTTCATCTCTCATACTTAGGACATATTGTCAGGAGGGGCCAGTCACTGGAGAAGGATATCCTGTTTGGTAAGGTGCAGGGTCAGAGAAAAAGAGGGAAGACCCCCAGCAAGATGGATTGGCCAAGTGGCGGAATCAATGGACTCAAGCGTGGCAACAGTAATGAGGTTGGCTCAGGATCGGGCAGTGTTCTGCTGTACATAAGGTTGCTATGGGTCAGTACTGACTCGATGGCACATAAGAACAACAACAACAACAATAACCATATCAACACTTCATTAATGAGCATCAGTTTTTTTACATAAAAATCTAGGAAGAGCTTCAAACTATGAGTTGGATGTTTTATTTTTTTTCATTCTGAAGTAGATTTACTAAAAGATTCAATGATCTAGAGATACTAATAAGGAACAATGTATGGATTTTGTTGATATTTTTAATTATATAAGTCGTGCTCAGTTTATTATCGAATATCTAAGGAAAGGAAGGCAAAAAGTAAAGGATAAGAAGAAAATTAAGAAGTCATACATAATCCCCATGCATCATGTTATACTAAATACTGTTAATATTTTGGGGCATTTATAATAGTTTTAAAACAATCAGTTATTTCTCTTTCTGCCCTCCTTCCCCATACTTCATAATGTTTTGCTCATAGGAATGCACATTTTGATGGTGGCTAACAAAGTTCTGGTCTTATTATCTTCACTCAATTAGTATGTAGAGTTTCATCTTATAACAGAATAAGCAAGACAATGACATAAGAGGATGTGGCCCTACTGATAGGCCTATATGGGTTTGTGTCCTTGTTTGTTGGGTATCAGCAGAGATGAGAATCAACTTTACCCGTTTTGCTTTTTATCTTGAAAGAGGGCCTGTCCCTCCCTTCATATCAGCAGCTCAATCTTGGCATCACACACTGGCTACTTCTTCCTTCTGTCAGTTTTGCTTTCCTTCAGCCATGTTATTGAAGCAACTACCAACCGTCATGTGGAGTTGAAGCTAAGTAAGTGTTGACTCCCCATTTCAACCTAGAAAATTGAGGACTTCCTTGGACTTGAGACACTCTACTCATCCATTCCAGACATTGATCTAGTTTCCTCATCTAATGCGACCCTCTGCCAGTGTACCCCACCCCAGTACTCCAGCTTACCTCGTCTCCTCAGCCTGACTAATTTCTTCTTCCACATAACTTCATGAATTCTCAATAATACCAATAGTAATTTTGTCAAGAATACCTTCTATGACCAGATATTGTGCTATACAGTAAAAGTCATTATGCCCATAGTTACTAGATGAGGATTGATGGCTCAAAAGTTGAGTCATTCACAGCAAATAAGTAACAGAGCCAGAACTTAAATAGGCTTCCAAGAAATTAGCCTTTCTTAGCAGGTCAGTTCTTTATAATGTGCTTCATCACAAGTTGTTTTCTGTCAGAGACCCTGTTTGCTGTTGTTTATGTCAGAAACATCTCTGCTCAAAGTCCATGCACGCCTGAGTTCTTTCTGGCACCTAACTCTGAGCACAAGCCAGATTTGTTGCTTGTGAAGCAACAGCAATTTTTAACTTCTAATAGAAGTCTGAAACTCCTTGTGTCCCTGTTTGGTTAACCTCTTGGCTCAGTAGCTTCCTCTCCTTGCTCACTTGTGACAAGTGGGAAATAGTTGTTCACGTACCTGAGTCCTGTCTATCTTGAGTCTCTGAATCGTCCTTTCTACCCAGAAACCTCTGAGTGTGTACTGGGTCCAGGGAGGCCTAGATCAGAGGGTTGTTCTACTTCCCTCATCTGACTCCAAGCAGAGGGCATTGCAGGATAGCCAGGATGCCAGCGAGACTGGCGTGGGCCACTTCCCAATCTATTGTGTAAAAGACCTAAATGTCTCCATCTTTCAAGGTCAGAAAAGCCACTTCCCAATCTATTGTGTAAAAGACCTAAATGTCTCCATCTCTCAAGGTCAGAAAAGCCACTTCCCAATCTATTGTGTAAAAGATCTAAATGTCTCCATCTCTCAAGGTCAGAAAATAACAGGGACGATCCCTGGAGACTCAAATACTCAGGCCGGAAGAACTAAGCATGCCTTTCTGATGTCGGCATGCCTTTCTGATTTAGGTCAGAAAGTGTGTGTGCGTGTGTGTGTGTGTGTGTGGTGGTAGTTTCAGACGTGAGGTTGGAGGAGGAAACACCTACCCACTACTTACCCATGACTGCCAAGCACATATTATATGTTCTGCTTGTTTTTTATCTCACTTAATTCTCACAGTGCTGGGAAGCATCTATGTACGTGTCCCTTACTATAGATGAGAATGTTGAGACTGACCTCTGTCTAGGTCTTTGCCACTTCAGGCTTGAACTCATAACTACTGCCCTGTAGGCAGTCTCAGATCCTTCCCTGGGGTAGAGTTGCTGTGGGCAGCTAGGCCTGTGAGGACCATCAAGGTGGGTAGTAGTTGCTGCAAGCTTTGAAGAAGCCAGATGAAAGTTGTGGCTACTCGAAAAGAAAGGCAGGGCCAGTTTCAGTCCTTGGTTCCCCATACATCAGAAAGTGTCCTGGTCCTCTTACTGGGCATGACTCAGGCAATGTTTTGTCTCTCGACAGTGCCTAACTCTGTGCCTTCCATTTCTTAATCTTCTGGCTGTGATGAGCCAATCCCTGAGCAGTAGAGGACCCTCAAAGATGCGAAAGATGATGAGTCGATGTCTCAAGGCACTCAGCATTCTTAACTTAGAGGAGTGTGGGTGATTCACCCCACTGAGGACCCAGTGTATCTGCTGGTCTGAAGGTCTGGCCCATAGCGATCAGAGGCATCGAATGTTGAGCTTAAAGTAGTTATGGCCTCCTTATACCAGGATGGGTTTAAGGAAGTATGTGCCTTGCAAAGAGCAGGGAAGTAGGAGTGGGGCTGAGAGACTTCTTTGATCGGCTATTAAGGTTTGAACTTAGGCAAGTTAAAGTCCTCCCCCTGCCTGGGCCTCCATATCTGGTGAAAGAAGAGTTTGAGGTTTTTCATCCATCTCCATTTCTTACCTGAAGCTATTAACCTCACACATAGACATTAATGTAAAGGACTAGCTCGCATGGTTACCCCAGAGAGGTAAACTCTCTATTTCTCCAAAACGAACAAGGAGGTGTATCCATCTCACAATCATGATGTGGTCTGGAGAAGGGCCCTTACTGAGCTTCGGCTCAGCCAGCAGCCTGGGGTAGGCCTAGCAGATCAGGAACTACTGTAGTGAGCACTGGGAGATTTCCTATGCACATCCTATCGTTCCTCCCACATCCCATTTTCTGAAGTCTCTCAGTTCTGGGTTTCTGAAATATCTAGTAGTCATTTGGTGACTCATACACCCCTCATGTTTCTTCCTTCTAGGTTCTGTGCACGGTCACAATGGGAAGCACAGGAGGACTTGCCCTGCTCAAGCCCCTGCTCATCCTTGCTGTCCTCTGCCATTCAGGTGAGTTGTCTGGAGTCCTGGAACATGAATCGGGATCATCGAGCTTGCCTTGGCCATTAGCATCCTTTTTCTTAGGACTCAGGAATACTGAGCTGATGCCACTGGCTTCAGTTTCAGCCTAGGTCAGATTTCACATGTGGTTTTGATTCTTTTGCCTTCCAGTGTTATAGGTCTGAGGTTGTTATAAATTAAATTGTGTACCCCAAAGTATGTTTTCTATATTCTGATCTTTCTGCCTGTGGTGATAATCCCATTTGGGAATGGATTGTCTTTGTTCTTTTAGTAAAGCACAGTTAGCATAGGGTACATCTTTAATCAATCTCTTGACATAGGGGATTGAACAAGCAAATGACTGAGTAGAAATGGGGAAAGATTGATGCAAAACCACTTTGCAATCTTCGAGGAACCGGAGACAAACTGAGGAGGCAAGGATCTTCCCTGAGTTGACAGGAAAAGGCTTTCCCTACAGCTGACACCCTGAATTCACACTTCTAGCCTCCTAAACTGTGAGAAAATGAGTTCTAGTGGTTAAAGCTCTCCACTTATTATATTTCTGTTATAACGGCCCTAGATAACTAAGACATAATTTGGTGCCTGAAGAGTGTGGTGCTGCACCAATACCTGAAATGTGCATGTGGTTTTCGAATTGGGTAATGGGTAGTGGCTGAAAGAATTTTAAGGTTCCTAATAGTAAGGAGTCCTGGTGTGGCGCTATGGATTAATGCGCCAGACTGGTCGGCGGTTCAAGCTCACCAGCTGCTCCTTGGAAACCCTATACAGGGTCGCTACTTGAAGGCACTTAACAACAACAACAATAGTAAGGAGCCCTGGTGTGGCACTGTGGGTTAATGCGCCAGACTGCAAAGCTGTTTGAACTGTAGGTCGGCGGTTCAAGCTCACCAGCTGCTCCTCGGAAACCCTAGACAGGATCCCTATGGGTTGAAATCGACTCGATGGCACTTAACAACAGCAACAACTATAGTATCTAGGAGTCCTCGGATGGCGCTGTGGGATAATGTGTTTGGTTGCAAGGTCACTTTGAACTGCAAGGTTGGGGGTTTAAGCTCACCAGCTGTTCCTCAGAAACCCTATACAGGGTCACAATGAGTTGATCCTGACTCGACAGCACTTAATAACAACAGCAACAACAGTAGTACCTAGGAATCCTGGTGTGGCACCGTGGGTTAATGCACTGGGCTGCAAAGTTGGTTTGAATCTCCAGGCCAGTGGCTCAAGCTCACCAGCCACTCCTCAGAAACCCTGTACAGGGTAGCTATGGGTTGGAACTGACTTGATGGCACTCAACAATACCACCATATTTGATCAAACATTTAATTAACTCACCCCTAATAGGAGCTCAAGGAGCTCTGGTATCATAGTGGTTATGAATCAGGCTGCTAACCTCAAGGTCAGCAGTTCGAAACTACCAGCTGTTCCACGGGAGAAAGATGAGACTTTCTGGTCCTGTAAATATTTACAGCCTTGGAAACCCTATACAGGGTCGCTTATGAGTCGAAATCCACTCCACGGCACACCACCATCACTACCAATAACAACTCTGGTGGCGTAGTGGTTACAAGGCGGGCTGCTAACTTCAGATTCAGCAGTTTGAAATTATTAGCTGTTCCACGGGAGAAAGTTGAGGCTTTCTGTTCCTATAAAGATTTACAGCCTTGGAAAACCTATGCAGGGTCACTGTGAGTCACAACAGACTCCACGGCACACCACCAGGAGTCCTGCTGTGGCGCTGTGGGTTAATGCGCTGGACTGCAAAGTTGGTTTGAATTGCTAGGTCGGCAGTTCAAGCTCAGCAGCCTCGACAGTACTTAACATCAGCAACAACATGGCACTACCTTAAGTTCACACTTCTACCCAATGTAATTTCTGTTATTATAATCTGCATTTGTTTATGGAACAAGCTTGACTATGGGGCCATCGGCTGTTCTGACAGGTCTAAGGGTACCTTTAGGCCCCCTTCCTCTGAGACTGGGGTATGACGCATACACACACAAGTGAGAGATCTCCTGTGCGACTTCCCTAAGCCTCTGAGAAGCCTGCCGAGTACCCTTCTCCTGCATTCCAGTCATGTTGGCTGGGGTCAGATTCCTTCTTCTCCAGCTCAATAGCTAGAATAGCAAGCAGCTGTCCAGCCTTGACCTTGTCTTGACCTAGGGTTTCCCCCACAGTTTGTGCTGGTTCCTTCTCTACTTCACTCAGGACAATAGAAAGATATCGTGGTTAAGCTATGCTTGGGTTTTAGAACTGACGTCCTCTATCACTTAGTAGCGACGTGACTTTGGACACATTAATGTCTTAATCTTTTTTTTCTCCCTTGCAAGATAGAGGGGGAACGTAATTGACCCTACCTCTTACAGCAATTCCCTTAAGATTTCGATTTTACATATAGGTACTCAGATACTAGACTCATTGGCTATGAATATTTCTGTACTCCCCAAGTTCCAACTCTGGAATTTGACTCCTGCCTATAAAGGTTTGCCAAGGAGATGGATGATTCCTGTCTCTGGTCAGGAGAACAGTCACTCCTATGGGGGACCTTTTCAAATGGTCCTCACAAATAGTAAGATAAGAACAACACCTCCTTTTCTGCATCTGGAACAAGGACTAAATGACAGACAAATTGCATCTTTGTCCCTTCTCATTGTGACTTCCATTTCCCACAGGCATAACCAATGCTAACAATGGATCTAAGGGTGCCCTGTCCTAGGCATGGGAGTTGGCTTCAGCTCTGCTGCTTTGTAGTTGGGTATGGAGTCCTGGTGTGGTGCTGTGGGTTAATGCACTGGACTGCAAAGTTGGTTCATGGTTCAAGCTCACCAGCTGTTCCTCAGAAACCCTATACGAGGTACTATGGGTCAGAACTGACTCAACCAGCACTTAACAACAACAAATCCTTGGGCACAATTTATCAAACATACAATCAGGATGCACTGATAATTACTGGTGATAGAAATGCACAAATTAGAAAGGGAGAAAGGTTGGAAAATATGGTCTTGATGATAGAAATGATGCTGGAGATCACATGATAGAATTTTGAAAACCAATGACTCATTCATTGCAGATGCCTTTAAAAACAACATAAAAGGTAATTATGTACATGGACCTCACCAGATGGAATACACAGGAATCAAATTGACTACATCTGTCAGAATGGATGGTGGAAAAGCTCAATATCATCAGCCAAAACAAGGCCAGGGCAGACTGTGGGACAGACAGACCACCAGTTGCTTATATACAAGTTCAGGCTAAAGCTGAAGAAAAATAAAACAAGTCCATGCAAGTCAAAATATGACCTTGAACACATCCCATCTGAATTTAGAGATCAAGAACATATTTGATGCATTGGACACTAATGACTGAGGACCCGAAGAGTTGTGGGATGACCTCAAGAACATCATACTGGAAGAAAGCAAAAGGTCATTAAAAAGACAGGAAATACCAAAATGGATGTCAGAAGAGACTGAAATGAAGAAGTAAAAGAGCTGAATAGAAAATTTCAAAGGGCAGTTCAAGAAGATAGTCAGTTGTTATAACGAAAAGTACAAAGACCTGGAGTTAGAAAACCAAAAGAAAAATGCTCAGCAATTTTCAAGCTGAAAACGGAAAAGAAGAAAAAATTCAAGCTCCACTTACAATATCGAAAGATTCCATGGGCAAAATGTTGAATGATGCAGAAAGCATCAAAAGAAGATGGAAGGAATACACAAAATCACTGTACCAAAAAGAAATTGTCAATGTTCAACCTTTTCTAGAGGTATCATATGATCAAGAACTGATGGTTCTGAAGGAAGAAGTCCAAACTGCACCTGAGGTATTGGTGAAAAACAAGTTCCTAGGAATTGATGGATTACAAATTGAATCTTTCACGAAACTTATGCAGCACTAGAAGTGATCACTCATCTATGTCAAGAAATTTGAAAAACAGCTATCTGGCCAATTGATCCATTCCAAAGAGAGATAATCCAACGGAATGTGGAAATCTTCGAGCAATACCATTAATGTCACATGCCAGTAAAATTTTACTAGAGATCATATAAAAATGGGAACAGTAGTACATGGACAGGGAACTGTCAGAAAGTTCTCTAGCCAGATTCAGACGAGGGAATGGAACTAGTGATATCATGACTGATGTCAGATGGATGTTGACTGAAAGCAGAGAATACCAGAAAGCTATTTACCTGTACTTTATTGACTATGCAAAGGTTTTTGGCTGTGTGGATCATGACAAACTATGGGTAACTTTGTGAAATGGGTATTATACAGCATTTGATTGTACTTATGAAGAAACTGAACTTCGCTCAAGAGACAGTCATTCAAACAGAACAAGGGATAGTGAGTGGTTTAAAATCAGGAAAGGTGTGTGCCAGGGTTAAACCCTTTTACTATACTTATTCAGTCTGTATGCTGAGCACATAATCTGAGAAACTGAATTATATGAAGAAGAGCATGGCATCAGGATTGGAGGAAGACTCGTTAATAATCTGTAATCTGCAGATGATACAACCTTGCTTGCTGAAAGTCAAGAGGACTTAAAATACTAACTAATAAAGAGCAAAGACCACAATCTTCAGTATGGATTTACTTCAATGTAAAGAAAACAAAAATCCTCACAACTGAACCAATAAATAACATGGTAAATGAAGAAAAGATTGAAGTTGTCAAAGGCATAAAAGCAGCAATAAAGAGATCAAATGAGGTATTGTAGTAGGTACTGCACAAGACCTCTTTAAAGAGTTCAAGAGCAAAATTGTCAGTTTGAGGACTAAGGTGCACCTAATCCAAGCCATGGTATTTTCAGTAGCTTCTTATGCATGTGAAATTTGGATAGTGAACAAGGAAGACCGTAGAAGAATTAACACATTTGAGTTATGGTGTTGGAGAAGAATATTGAAAGTACCATGGACTGTGAAAAGAACAGCCAGAATGCTCCTTAGAAACTGGGATGGCAAGACTTCATCTCTCATACCTCAGACACATTATCAAGGGATACCAGTCCCTGAAGGACATGATGCTTGCTAAAGTGCAGAGTCAGTGAAAAAAAAGAAGACCCTCAGTGAGATGGATTGGCACTGACTCAGTAGCACCTAACAATAACATCCTTGAGCAAATCAGTTGACTTCTTTAGGATTTATCTTGTCATCTGCAAACAGAGTGGAGAGGGCTTGACGTTCCTCAGCCCTGCTGGATGCAGTTTCTCAGCCTGTAAATCTTTACAGAAACAGAAAACTTCATCTTTCTCCTTTGTTGTGGCAGGTGGGTTTGTACCACTGAACTTGCAGTTCAAACAAACCTTGTAGTCCAGTGCTTTATACAACACCACCATACCAGGACTTCACAGTGCCAAATTGTTGTTATTGTGAAGTGCCATTGAGTTGGTTCTGACCCATAGCGACCCTGTATAGGGTTTCCGAGGAGCAGCTGGTGGGTACTGACAATTACTGGCTACATGCAGAGGCCATGTGGTGGGGAAAAGGTTTCTCTGATTATAGGAAAGGATGTACCCATGTAAATTGGGAAGTTTTCTTTCCATCTGTTACTTTCCCTAACATTTTCCTACTCTGTTCTCCATCGCAGCACTGGTGGCACTCCAGGATATGTGCTGACTGGATTGTTAAAAGCAAGATTGGCAGTTCAAGTCCACCAGCTGCTCTGTGGGAGGAAGATGAGGCTTTCTGCCCCTGTAGAGATCCACAGCTTCAGAAACCCTTTCTGGGGTCGGAATGAGTTGGCACCAACTCGATGCCTGTTGGTTTAGTTGGTTTCCTCACACAAGGGTGAAATGTGACTCATCTCTTTTTTTCTTTTCTGCCACGACAATAATTATAACAATTATCAAATTGAAGGAAAACAAACAGTAAAAGCTGATGTCTAGCTAGTAAAGATGAATCCTAAAAACTTGAATGAAGTGCAACTGGAAATCCTCCATTTTCCGAATTAATGAGCTTGAAGCAATTTGCTTCTGCTGCAAGTTGAGCTTTTCTCCTCAATGTTTTTGCTGTGGCTCTTCCACCCACCTGGGTTTAAACTATGCCATCATCTTGCTCTGTGGTGGTGGTGATGTGCTGTGGAGTCCATTCCAACTCATAGCGACCCTGTATAGGGTTTCCGAGGCTGTCAATCTTTGCAGCAGCAGAAAACCTCATCTTTCTCCTGCAGAACCACTGCTAGTTTCGAACGGCTGACCTTGAGGTTATCAACCCGACTTGTAACCAGTATGCTACCAGAGCTCCTTCATCTTGCCTTAGCTGTGTGTATTTCTGGTGATTCATTGGTTAACCCCATACCAGGTGTGACTGGTGAGGTTACATGTTAACTTGCCTAGGTCATGATGCTCGTGGTTTGGCAGTATAATCCTCCATTTCATGAACAACCAGTCAGTTGAAAGTAGTTTTCTTCAGAGTCTGCCCTGCATCCAATTTATATGAATATGCTGGCAAAACTCATCCTCTCTCAATTCTGCATCTGATCTGTCATCTCTGACCTCTGACTCTTGAAACATGAAGCAGTAGCCTTCTGTCTGACGTGTAGATTTTGGGATTCACCAGTTCCACACAGCCGTGTGAGGCAGCAGCTTGCTATCTAAGCAGTCTCTGCAACAAAGTAAGTTAGAAGAAGCCCCTAGCCTGCTGGCGGACCCACCAATTTGGGATTTCCCAGCCTCCACAGCTGTGTGAGCCATTTCTTTGACATAAATCTCTCTCTGTCAAATCTCGGTCTGTCAGTCTCTCTCTGTATATACATATATGTATATTGTGGGAGAAAGAGGAGGCTTTCTGTTCCTGAGAAGATTGAAAGCCTCGGAAACCCTACAGAGTCCCTATGAGTCAGAATTGACTCCATAGCACTTAGTAACAATAGCGTATATATATATATATTTGTGTCACACTGCACTTCTAACCACAAGGTTGACGGTTTCAACCCATCAGCTGTTTCTTGAAGACCTTATCCAGGGTAACTATGAGTCAGAACCGACTGGAAAGCACTGAACAACAACATACATGTGCTTCACTGAATTTGCTCCTCTAGAGAACACAGCCTAAGACCAGGGGACAGCCTTCAGTCACGATTCTGTGTCCCATGGGCCACATAGTAAATATTTTAAGCTTTACTGTCTAAGAGGCCATATCAATGCTATTATGTAGGTACTTATATAAATTACCTATTATATAAATAAAAAAAGAGAAGACAATTTTCTACAAATCAAATTCTTTTCCTTATGGTAGACATATAAATAACACATCTATCTGCCAGTCGAACTTTTTTACATGTACACAATTCAGGGACACTGATTACACTAATCAAGTAGGACCGTCACCGGTATCCATTGCCACATTTTTTATGAATTTAAACAGATACTCTGTGTTTCCAGAACTGTGACTCCACCTTGCCCTCTCCTTTTCACTTTGATAACCACTAATAAACTTCAGGCATTTGCCTATTCTAGAAATTTCATAAGATAATGTTCCACAGACTTTTAATTAAAGAAATTTAGATTTAAATAATTGACCACAATTATTTGTAATACAGATCTACTAATAGGGGAATGGAATTCATTTGGGGATAAGATTTTGCTTAACTATGGTTCATAGTTAGTGCATCAAATTGATTGCAAATCTTCATCTGTAAGAAGATTTTACACTACATTTGCCTTAAAAATGTCTTTTTGCACAAATGTTGTTCAGTACTGTCGAGTTGTCTCTAGTTCATAGCGACCCTCTATAGAGTTTCTGAGGAGCGGCTGACGAGTTTGAATTGTCGACTCTGAGGTTCAAACCGACCTTGCGGCCCAGTGCTTATCCTACATTACCACACCCCGATTCCATTGTACAGCTAGGTACTGCAAAAGGCTAATGTTCAATTCCTGAGCATGTGATTCGAAGGCATTTAGAGTATGGGTTTTTGTAGGAGTTAGTTACTCCTCTTAATATTTTCCTTTTAGTATGTCATTACTCGGCAGAGCAAAAACTTCAAATTGAAGGTTGAGAGGAAACTCCTCAGTTGCACAGTTAGATGGATTTTGAAATAAGGAAAATTCCTTTGCTTTTGTTTGCATCTTAAAAATGTCTTTTTGCACAGATATTGTTGTTGTTAAGTGCTGTCAAGTTGCTTCTAACTCACAGCGACAGATCCAGAAAATGTTGCTGGAACTGTCATTTGAGTTTAGACAACTTTGTCTACTGCCAATCTATGTGGGAATGGAGGCCGGCTATGGATTGCTAGCCTCTGTCCTTTACCAAGAGGAAAAATCAGTGTTGTTCTAACAGGTCCTGACAGCTTTCTTCTTGGTTCTAGGTTATGGCTTGAAGTGCTATAGCTGTATTGCAGTAGGTACCCCCTGCAGCACGGTCACCAATTGTACGTTTCCTTTGGATTCATGTCTCTTTGTCAAAGCTGGTAAGGACTTCCTCCTCCCCTCTTTCCTAATCCTCATTAAAATTATAATCTACAAGCAATAGCTCTTGTTTATTAGCACGGGTTGTGTGCTGGGCACTGAGCACTTGCCATACATGTTGTCTTTAATGCTTCCCACATCCCTCTCAGTATAATCTTTTATTCACATTTGATAATTGAAGAAATGCGGCTCAGATTAAGCAACAGGTGAAGGTCAAGTGGCCAAGTCACCATTTGGGAATCCATCTGACTGCAAAGTTTGTGCTTTTACCTGGAACACTGTGTTGCCTCCCAAGCTGTTGTTAGTCCACTGTGTGCCAGAGTATGAGCTAGGTGTTAAGGTTGCAAAGATGAAAAACGGAGACAGACAATTACAATTATGAGAGAAGACTATTCACCTGTCCCCAGTTACTTCATTAAAATAAAGTAAAATAACTCATTTCTCTGAGGGATAGGATGGAACAGCTATGTTGTTGTTAAATGCCATCGAGTCAGTTCTGATTCAGAATGATCCTGTATAGGGTTTCCAAGGCTGTAAATCTTTGTAGGAGCAGAAAGTCTCCTCTTTCTCCCACGGAGCATCTGGTGGCCTCACCGGACTGATTATCTTACAGAGCCATCATGCTCCCAAGGATAACTATACTTGTAGTTATAAACTTAGAGTTGTTTTATTCTGGGCTATAAATGGAATTGTATACATTTGTTACAATTTTTAAATAGGGAATGGGCATCTATATATTTTTTCCTTCTGGCACAGCAGATAAAATCTTTCTAAGACAAGGACCTTACCTTCTAGATCTCTATAACCTTAGTATCTAGCACACATATGCTTTTTGGAGAAATGTCTATTCAAATCCTTTGCCTATTTTTAAATTGGAGCATTTGTCTTTTTATCATTGAATGGTAAGAAAACCAGAAAACCAATCCCATTGCCATGGAGTGTTAAGAATTCTTTGTCTTTTTTTGGGTAGAAGTCTGTGACGGTATATTATTCAGAAACATTTTCTCCCATCCTGTGGGTTGTTTTTCACTTTCTTGGTAGTGTCTTTTCAAGTACACATTTAAAATTTTAATGAAGTCCAACTTACCTGTTAAATTTTGCATTTCTTAAACACAGTCTTTAAAACTCTTTTCATGTCAGCTATTGCAGGCACTTGCCATTTGTTATCTGCATAGAACTCCATACATAGCATGCATGACATTTCATGAAATAGTTTTTTTTTAAGTCAATGGACTGGTTTTCAGTTTCTTGTTGCTACAGATAGTATTCCTGAGTGGGATTGCTGGATCATAGGGTATTTATGTGTAAAATCTTAGTAGATTATTCTCTTATTTCCCTCAAAAGCAACATATCTAGCATACTGACTGTACTGGCTGTAATGAGACTTTCGTTTCATAAAAGAGTGCTTTTAAAGCTATATTATTATCATTTACTTATTCTATTAAATAGCTATTTCCTTTTGCAACCTAATTGGAACCAATATTATTGTGTAGATGTCTCTACTTCCTCCAGATAAGTTCCCAGAAGTAGAATTGAGGGTTCAAAGTCAGGTACTGAACTTTCCTCACTTGCTTTAACCCTTGTTTGTGTGTCTCCCCACAGCTTCAAGACTGTATTACCATTGTTGGAAGATGGCAGATTGCAATTTCCAGTATATTTCAACAACCTTAGAGGAGTCAAAACTACAGTACTCCTGCTGCCAGAAAGACCTGTGTAATAGTCATCCCGGTACAGCCTTCCCAGGAAAAATAGTTCTGCTGATGACCACACTGCTGGTAGCAGCCTGGAATCTCTGTCTCTAAATCCATGCCAGGAGGACTTCTTCTAAACTCTTTCTTTCTTATACATTGCCCAGTTCCTTGTCGCTGCGTTTCAAGGGCTTTGTTTTCCCAAGTATAGCCTGTTGGGGAATAATACAATTAGCTTGAGCAATTTGGCTAAGAGAGGGGACCCTGAGAGACTTTAAAGAGCAGTGCTGTTTAGAGGGAGGCCCCCTGGGGGAGGCAGTTTGAGCATGACGCACCTGTGACAGGAGCGGCCGAGCTGCTTGTTTCCTTCTCTGCTCTGGAGGACCTGCTTTTGCAGAAGCGGCTCAGGTAGGTTCTCTGCAGTCTTCAGTTATTTCCTCTCTGGTTCTTGGGATGTAGTTAAACAGTGTGATCAGTACTTTTGTGGGGAAGGGGACTTTTATTCACATGGTCTACTTTCACCCTTTCCCTTCACGGCCCCTGTATGTGTTTTGTGTGGTGGGCTGTCAGCCAGGACAACCAGATTCTTAATGCAGAGTGACTCGAATGGCTGCGCATTTCAACCAGAAGGTGTCTGCAGTAACAGGGCGGGTACAGTTTCCAGATGGCAGGGCACGGAAATACAAGGTTTGTCTTTGTAAGGGTCCCAGTGACTGAAATTGGAGTGGCTGAAAACTTTGCCACTAAGTTCTGTTTGGGCTTTGCTGTCTTTCACTAAAAAAACTTACAGTTGGTGTATCTATCTAGGAATAAAATGTTATACTAGCTTTCCAAATAAAATTATATTTCTGTTTTCCTTAAAAAAAACAAAAAGAAAAACTTACAGTCTGAAATAATACTGTGTTAAAGCTATTTTTCTCCTCCTTTGACTGCTGGAATGGTGTAATATCTTGGCTTTACTAGTTAAATAATAAACATTTTATGCTGCACGTACTAAGTATGCTTATGCTAGATGTTACTGGTAGTAAGACTCATTGTGTATTGGTCTATAGTATAAATGCAGTGGAGTGACCTTTGAGGTTGCAGTTTGGGATTTCCACATGTCATCGTTTACAGCAACAGATCTGCGAGGATGTCTTTTACCTGTCCTTTCAGCCTGATAACTCTTAGCTGATTTAGCACAGAATGGAAGGGCTACTTGCATAATCACAAATGTTGAGGCTTTCTAGGAAGCTCTAACATATTGCCTAAAAAATGACACACCCTTTTGAGGAGGAGGAAATTGTTCCTTTTTCCTTTGGGTACTGGTAAATAATTCCCAAGATCTGGTAGACCTAGTGATATTTGTATTCTTATGAACTTGGCTGTATTTGACAACTTAGCCTGCCTTTTGCAAATAAAACTGTAATTCATAATGAAATTTAAAAAAATGTATACCCCTTTGATTATATAATCTGCTAGACAAACTGGAAAGGCATTTGACCGTGTGGGTCATAACAAACTATGAATGACAGTACAAAGAATGAGTATTCCAGAACACCTAACTGTGCTCATGAGAAACCTGTACATAGACCCAGAGGCAGTCCTTAGAACAGAACAAGGGGATACTGAACGTATTAAAATCAGGAAAAGTGTGTGCCAGGGTTGTATCCTTTCACTATATTTATTCAATCTGTATGCTGAGCAGATAATCTGAGAAATTGGATTATACAAAGAAGAACATGGTATCAGCATTGGAGGAAGACTCATTAACAACTTATAATATGCAGATGATCCAACCTTGCTTTCTGGAAGTACTTGTTGATGAAGATCAAAGACTATAGCCTTCAACATGGATTGTACCTCAATGTAAAGAAAACAGAAATCCTCACAACTGGACCAATAAATAGCAAGATACAAGAGAAAAGGATGACAATGTTGAAGACTTCATTTTGCTTGGATCCACAATTAGCACTCAGTGGAAGCAGCAGTCAAGAAATCAGATGACATGTTACATTAGGCAAATCTGCTGTGAAGACCTTTCAAGTGTTAAAAAACAAAGATGTCAGTATGAGGATTAAGGTGTGCCTGACCCAAGCCATGGTATTTTCAGTCACCTTATATACATGTGAAAGTTAGACAATGAATATGGAAAACCTTAGAAGAATCGTTGTATTTGAATTATGATGTTGGTGAAGAATATTGAAAGTACCATGGACTGCTAAGAACAAACAAATCTCTGTTACAAGAAGTATAGCCAGAATGTTCTTTAGAAGCCAGGATGGCAAGACTTCGTCTCTTGTTCTTTGAACATGTTGTCAGGATGTACCAGTCCCTGGAAAAGGACATCGTACTTGGTAAAGTGGAGTGTCAGCAAAACAGAAAAGGCCCCAAAGGAGATGGATTGACACAGTAGAAACAAAAATGGGCTCAAGCGTAACAATTGTGAGGATGGTGCAGACCGGGCAAAGTTTCTCCTGTTGTGCAGAGGGTCACTGTAAGGCAGAACTGACTTGGCAGCACCTAATGACAAGACAGAACTGGAAGAGCTAATGGCATCTTTCTGAAAATAAAATCTAATTAAATGGGTATGAATGTGGTTATTGGCTCAAAAGGATAAAAGTGTAGGCAATAAGCCCAATGTTGGCAACTGAAAGAAGATACCTTGGGCCATAGCAATTCTCTTTTGTTGTTGTCACTACTTGAACATCAACAAATAGAGACTGCCCCATCAAAACCTTGTGTTACCTTGGTGCTCAGTGGTCAACTGGCTCTCTTTCCCTAGGCATTAACTTCAATTCTTTGTTCCAAGACAGAATACTAGGGGTGACTCTTCAATCCAACTTTTTCTGTTTGGGTAAGTATTAACAATGCCCATAGCATAGAGGTAATGAGTCAGGCTGCTAATCTCATGATCAGCAGTTCGAAACTACCAGCAGTTCCATGGGAGAAAGATGAGGTTTTCTACTCCTGTAAAGATTTATAGCCTTGGAAACCCTATACAGGGTCACCATGAGTTGGAACTGACTCCACGGCATATAACCACCACCACCACCACCACTACCTAAGGAAAGCAGCTATTTCTTTTAGGACTTTTTAGTTCTAAGGAATGGCAACCAACTGACTCACTGAAGCAGAAAATGAATTTTGGGGGATTTTGTGGGAGAATTCATCGAGACTCCAACAAGCCAGGAATCGAGTAGTTCCAGAAGTCTCTCTTGAATTTAAATTGCAAGGTTAGACAGTCTGACTGGCCTGTCTTGCATAATATACCCACTTTTAAGCCATGGAACATTGGTGGATGGGTAATTTTCTAAAGCTGCCTCCTAAATGGGAGTTGGGGAATGAGATGTTCAACAGCCAACACCAGTGAAGCTCATGGAATTGACCTGAAACTCAAGGGTTTCTGGTTGCAGCAAGTTGCTATTTTCCCCAGACTTTAGATTACAAAAAATGTTGCTTACTCTGTAAGTATATAGAGCACATCTACCAAGTAAAGCAAGAATAAGGGCTCTGCTGCATTTTTAGGAACCTTTGTTCTAAGAGTGGGTGTTGTGGAGGGAAACAGGAATGCCTTGATCCCTAGGTCCAGATCAACACAACGGTTAATTCAGATGAGTAATAAAGGAGTGATTGTTCTGGTCTTCTCAGAATAGCTGGGCCTTTGAATCGTGGCAGAGGATCCCTGGTGGCACCGTGGGTTAAGCATCACATTGCTAACTGCAAGGTCAGCGATTCAAATCCAAATCATCAGCCACTCTCTGGAGCCAGGTGAAAGTGTTTGCTCCTGTAAAGATTTACAATCTCATACACCACAAGGAGCTCTGGTAGCGTAGTGGCTACGAATCGGGCTGTGAACCTTAAGGTCAGCGGTTCGAAACTACCAGCTGCTCCGCGGGAGAAAGATGAGGCTTTCTACTCCCGTAAAGATTTACACCCTCGGAAACCCTGTACAGGGTCGCTATGGGTCGGAACCGACTCGATGGCACTTAACAATAACAACAACAACACCCTAAGGAACAATGGCACTGTAGGGTCGCTATGAGTCAGAATCAATTCAACTGAATTGTGGTACCAACAATCCCAGTTAGGGTCAGCTTCCTGCCAGTAAGAGGGCTGGGAGGTCAGAGGCTCTAGTGATGATGGTTGTGCCCAGAGGAAATGTGTAAATAAGAAAGATGGAATGCCAGCTCTGACCAGCCACAGGACCTCAAACAAATTACTTGACCTCTATATGCCTCAGTTTCCTCAGCTGGAAAATGAGGGTAGTAGCACCTATGCATGGGGTTGTTGGAAAGATTAAATGTGTTAAGACAAGTGCCTTTCTCTATTATCCTTTTTCTCATCAGGACAACTTCTTTGGTGTGGCCCTTGCTAAATTATCTGGAGTGGATTTGGTCTTCTAGGAGGGACACCCCCTGCTCCATCTTCATCAACTTGCCAGGGCTTAATGGTGACTTAAGGAGCCTTTGTATACATGCATACTAACCGTAACCTTACTTTATTGAGCACCTCTGTGTCCTAGGTACTGCTTATACATATTTGTATCATATGCATCAAGGAGCTCTGGTAGCGTAGTGGTTACGAATCGGGCTGCTAACCTCAAGGTCAGCAGTTTGAAACTACCAGCTGTTCCACGGAAGAAAGATGAGGCTTTCTGCTCCTGTAAAGACTTACAGCCTCAGAAACCCTGTACAGGGTCGTTATGGGTCAGAATCGACTCGAAGAAAGCACTTGACAACAACAATAATACATGAAGTTGATACATGTAGATGGGATCTCTTTTCTTCCCTACAACAGAATTCAAGTTGGCAACGAAAAGACAGAGCAGACTTGAATCCAACCTAACAGGACATTCAGCTCTACAACTCTTGTATCAACTACCTCTTCACTCAAATTTCCATTTAGTACCATTGTACTAGGGCTTCCTAATACTCTTGGCTCCCTGCCTGAATTTGGAAACAGTTGAAGGAGAAAGACACACACACACACTGTGCAGCAGAGGAGATAAAAATATTGCCTTTTTAACTGATCAAGCTTGGCTGGAGGATATGGTTTTGGGTCTGGTAGTCAGGTGAGCTTGCTAACATTACACCTCTTAATTGAGCTAACTCATCCAATGGAGGTCTTGTCCA